TGATACGCGTGTTAGCTTTGCGATGGGTCTCGTTGCCTGGTGGAAATGAGAAATCTGTCAAAGTACCAGCAGCCAAAATGTCGCGTGCGACTGGCAGCTGCTTGGAAATCCTGTGATGCAGTAACTGTGAGTCAGTATAAGCCTGGTGGCTGGTTTCCCTCATAGTGGGCTTTTACACAATATACATTATACACATTAAATTCAGGTCCACCTCATTGTTCTTATTTCAGACTCACAAGCAGCAGTATTGACTCTTATAAGTGATAAATATTGAAACAGCAGCATCAGTTGGCTGAAGCTGTGGTTTGTTTTAAAGGTCTGTCAAAAACATATTTTTGTAGGCAGCATTTTCTTAAACATTCTTCTTAATCATTCTCTGCTTGCATTAAATTATTCTGGGCATGTCTCCTTTATGTGAGTATGTATGTAGGTTCACAGATTTGGAATGGAGAACATTGGAGTCTTTTGTCAGCAAGTTATAAATATGCAAAGACCTTGACTGTTACATTTTTTCTTAACTATATGATGTATGTGTTTAATTATGCTGCAGGGATGTGTGGACTTAAAGAATGAAAAACAGCAGACAGGATGTTGATAAATTTGCCCCTATGTTGACCGATCAAGGTGACGTGAGATGGATTTGTGGATAAGAAAGGCAAAAATGGGCTATGGTAACGTTGTGGAATTGCTTGCTTAATTTTGCAGAAAACAGAGTAAATAGAAAAGTTTTTCTTTGGACTAAATCACATAGTTCTTAGAAGTTCACTATAGAAGCTAAACTACACTGTATGTGCAATAATAATAAACATTAAAAGGTGAATATACAGTCTTTGTGCAGTACTGTGAAGAAGTACACCTATACTACTTCTAAGAAGCAGCTAGGTGCTGCTAATCATATATACTTGATTAATTGAGAACCTCTATAAAAGCAGAACATTTAGCACATTGTTGGAGAAAGGAGAGAAAGCCTCTTCCCCTTGAAAAAGAATGTGACAGCACAGCTTTAGTTTAAAGTGTTGCACCTGAACGAACCACAAGCCCTCTGGTAAAATGTCCAGACGAGACCAAAGTGCAGATGTTTGGCAATAATGCACAGCACCGTGTTTGAAAAAACAAACAAAAACAAATGCAGGATATCACCACAAACACGTCATACTAGCTGTTGAGCACGGTGGAGGAGTGGTGATGATTTGGGCTGGTTTCATAGTAGGGCTGGGTATCGTCACTGATTTCTAGAATCGATTCGATTCCGATTCACAAGGTCCCGAATCGATTCGATCCACGATTCGATTCGATTCAATTTAAATCTGGGAAATTTTGCCTCAGACAGTCAGAAATATTATAATTCAGATCAGTACATTTACATATTTTTGTATCTATAAAAAGGAAGC